GGGAAAGAGAGAAAGCAAGCTACCAGATTCAGGACTTGAACCATGGTTGGTCATGTGGAAGTCCAGAGCTTTAACCACCATGCCACTTGCCATCCCCTAGATTCGAATCTTAAACTACCCTACACCTACTTAATCAGTTATCTCTCGGAGCCTCGATTTTTACACCTATAGGATGGAGATAGAGACACCATTCGATAGTGTTCTTATGAAGATAAAATGTCCCAGAGTAACAGAAATAAGCTCTTGGTGTATGAAGTGCTCGTGAACTTTATGAATGTCGGGCTGGAAGCTGGCATGCCTCTGCCTGAGCACAGGATGCCAGTGTGTTCTGTGGCACTGAGCAGCAGGTGAGAGGGGTGGCTCCCTGCCTCCATACAGCTGTAGAATGCCAACCTGCATAACCTATGAACTTCTTTTTCTAAGGGGCTGCACAGACGCACCTATGCCATGGTTCTCTAAGAGGGTATGTAGCTTAGCCAAATGTATTTGACCATTTTGGTTTTTATTTTTGGCCCAGAATCTTACAAAACTAGTGATAGTCAGGAGGAATCCTTGGTAACTCTGATGTTCCTTGTGATGATAACCTCATCACAGTGGGCATGTGGTTTTAACCTCTACTGTCTCAAAGACATTTCTTCTTGAGCAGTTCATCCACTGCCCTAGAAAGGCAAACAGTGAAATGCTTAAATAGACTGTCATAGTTAGAATAGACCAGAGATTTGGAAAATGATTTCCAAGGAGAAAATTGGGGCTTATAGGGGTGGGGAGGAGCCCTGACCAAGCTTCAGCCAAGTTGGCAGTCATTGCTCAACTATAGACTCTACTCTACATACACCATCTACGAATCAGGCATCCTCCACTTAAATACTGTCTCACTCTAGGAAATACTTTTGCTTCTGTGCTAGGAGGCTATTTAAGAAAATCCAAAAGTTAAACTTCAGAAGGAGAAGGTGTCAAATAAAACAGGCAGGAGATTTAGGGACACAATATTTATCGGCTCTGTGGAAATTCTAGTTCCAAACTCCTTTCATTTGTGGGAGGCTCTGCAGTCCCACTGCCTGCCTGGGAGGACCATAAACAAGAGAGGGTTGTAACCCATGAGACTAGATGCAGTTCTGTTAAATGACACAGCAGCCTCAAAGTGTCTGTGGCTTGTCTTAAAACCCCAAGCTGATAAATAAATAAATAAAGTCAAGGAGCTAGATCTTCCACATGATTTCATCTCCTTTGTGTATCTTTCTCTGTGCTTCTGAATTTTCAAAGCATCAGAAAAGAGGTAAGACAAGTCAGGGTGATAGCTTCCTACTGACATTGCTACAAATTATGAAAATGGAAAGCCAATAGAAGCTGATATAATGCAGCTGGAATTACAACGTTTTCAAAACTATCATACTTTAAACACGCTTGCCAGACTCCAAAGGAACATTGTTTAATAGGGTTTAGATTCCATCTGAGATGTCACATTGACGGACTGATATGGTGGTGTGGGGGGAGGTTTGGAACTGAGGGTTATTTTATTATTTACTAAAAAATAAGATTACTTCATCACCAGAAAATATCACAGCGTTTCTCTTTAATATTTGCCTTGGAAACAATTGTCATGCCCCAGCAGATGACAAAGTCCAATTCCTCATGTGTCTTTAAAGATTGTTTATTCTGTTTATTTTGAGACAGAAAGGATGCCTTTCTAAGCTGCTCCTCGTGTAGGTCTGAGTCCCACTGGGTCCTCCCTGGGCGGTGCGTTTTTTCTCCGAGTTACATATACAATATTAGAGGAAATTGGCCACTTGGTGCAGAGCAGCGAGAGTCCCTTGACCCTTCTGCTCTGAGGACAGGGACAATATCTCCTTCCCCAGCTCCAGAAACTGCCCAGTGCTACGTGGAATGTGCTGGAACTGATGCGGCTTCAGTTATAAACAGCAATGCCTCGTCACCGCACTGTGTCAGCTCTTGCCATTTAAAATGAACAGATGTTATTTTTGCTTCAAACTGGATTGCAAAACATCTTCCTTTTTTTTTTCTTTAATAAAAAAGAGATTCTCTTTGCCATTAAAAACAGTCATATGAGCACTAATACCTGAGTTAGTTGCCGGATGGAGTGCCAGAAATACTTGTTTGGAAAAAATCAACGGCACAGACTCTGAGAATTAAGGGATCTTGGCCATTGCCGTTGGGAGAATGGGCTGCGAGTGCCCGAGCGGCTGATCTGAAGGCTCTGGCCACCATGACCTACCCATGTTATGGAGCTGCTCTCCTTAGTTGGGGCGTGCAGAGTCAGCTCTAATCAGAGCAGCGGCAGCCAGGCAGTGGTGTATACTTGGTAGATCGGGCATTGTGGAGCAGGGGGAGGAATTCAGTTTCTGAGTGACAGATTCACTTTCTTTTCCCAGGTAACTCCTTGCTTCTGAATTCTGCCATGCAACCAGACCTGACAGTGAGTCGGACATACAGTGGCCCTATCTGTCTACAGGACCCTCTGGACAAGGAGCTGATGACCGAGTCGTCACTCTTTAACCCTTTGTCAGACATCAAAGTCAAAGTTCAGAGCTCATTTATGGTTTCTTTGGGAGTGTCTGAGAGAGCTGAGTTCCACGGCAAGAATCATTCGGGGACTTTTCCCCACGGAAACAACCGCGGCTTTGGTACGATGCATCCCAGAAATAAAGCACCCTATACCCAAAACCTGTCATCGCTCCCCACGAGGACGGAACTGAGGACGACTGGTGTCTTCGGCCATTTAGGGGGGCGCTTAGTGATGCCAAATACAGGTGGGTGGCCAGTGTGTGGGCGCTGTCCAGCAGTCATTTACACACTTTGTATTTATGTGATTTCATCCCACCAGGCTCATTCTACAGTGTTTACCAGCCCCTGTCAGAGCTGCAAGCACTGTGGCTAGTCCATTCTCCTTGATTTACGCAGCAAACCAGAACAACACTGAGATTAGATTTTGCAATCTTCATCTCAGCGTGGATCGAACACTCCATTCGTTGCCCTGTTAGACTTGATATTTGCTCAAAAGGTTTGGGTAGTCCTCAGGGATTAAGCCCCTTTGAAATATATTTCCTAGAACATGATCAGGAAGCACCAAAAACAGTCTTTGATGTGACAGACAAGTACCATGTTTATACCCAAGCATGATTTATACCCTAGTAGGAAATTCATGTAATGACACTCTGCCTCTGATTTTATCAGTAAGTGACCTGATAGACAGTCTCAGTGCCCATAGACCTTGTCAAGATGTTTCTTTATAATGAGCAATTATGAGGGCCCAATGATTCTGAAGTTGCTCTTTTGAATTCAAACTTTGGTTTCCGGGCGATGTTGTACGTACAAATATTCTCAAGTATTATTTTTTTCCCTTCTCTTAAATGGAAGAGAAGAGATTTTTCTTGATGTGTTGACAGGTTACTTAAGGTGTCCAACTCAGAACACTTTTTAAATGGCAACCTGTCTGTAAATTGGTCTGCAGAGTTGCTGCTTCAGAACTAAGTGGATGGCAGAAGGGGCCAATTTCTCCTCTGATTTCTAAGTAATGAGAATTAGACAGCATGCAGAATCAGGTAGGGATTTGTTGGCTGCTGAGAAGGAAGTAAATCCACTGGGTCAGCACACGGTATCAAACAGCAGGCCAGCATGGATCAGCACTGGCAGATGAGCCAAGGCAGAGCTGAGTGTAAGGCAGAGTGAAGCAACCTCTCAAATCAAACATTTTTTATCTCACAAAATGAATATGTGACAAGACTAGTCTGATTCTACTCTTCTAAGTAAATGATCCCTCTCATAGCTTTAGTGACTTGAGACTGAAAATTCATTTTAGTTTGATGAATGTTGTCTAGTTCTCACTCAGATCAATTGTTTTCCTAAAAATAGCCTTCAAACGCAGCCAACGATGTTCTTGTTTTCCAGACTTCCAATTCTCTAAATCTTCCTTGGCCAGCATTGTGGGGCATGGCAAGGATCCCAACACAGATATATATGGATACCGTTCTTTTTTTTTTTTTTGGCCGGGTTTTTTCTCCGGGCCCCGGGGTC